CCGGATATAAGACCTTCGCTTTCTTTCACATCCCTCAATGATGTGCTGGTGCTTAGACTCGATCTCGTGACGGTGTGGTGGTAGAGCATGGAGCGTCTTCTGGCGGAACACGGGGCCTCGTTCGACTTTGCGTTCATCGACGCGGGTACTGCACTCATCAGCATCTCGTGGCGTTATGTTCATCGCTTACACGCGCCCAGATAAACGGAACTATGGGATCTATTACGAACTGGCGCTGAAGCTGCTACGACCCGGTGGCACAATCGTTATCGACAACACGCTCCTACACGGTATGACGTGCGTTGTTGTCCGGAACGTTCTCCTTTAACCGCTCTTCAAACTGACCGAGCACCACTCAGGCAAGGTCGCCGACCTGAGCGTGCGAGAGAAGCATGTCCAGGCGATTCGGCACTTAAACTCCAAGATGGCCGCCGACGACCGCGTCAATGTCTCCCTGCTCCCCGGTACTGTCCTCAACCCCTCTTATGACTCCTTTCGGCCGAAAGCTGAATCACAGAACAATGATTGGCTTTTACGAGGAATGCCTGGCATTCTTCTGGCCAAAGCCACACCTTTTCCTCTCCTCTCTTGCGCCCGTGGACAAAGAGTATAAATTGTCCAGTGAGAGAGTGGCAAAGGCATCTTCTCGGCCTTCGTGGCTAAGATCAAGTGTAGTATCTGTTCTTATCAGCTTAATCTCTGGTAGTGAGGCCTCAATGTGCCTCACAACTCAAGATTAGACTTATTTCTTGTGGTGCGCCTGGTACCATGCCCTCCAGCTATGCTGTGGCAGTCCAGGGAGCAGCGATCAGCTTCACATTGCACACCCTGCGAAGTTCTTAAAATGGTCCACCCTTCCCTCAAAGCAAACTACAAATTATCATATCATTCACTCTCTGTGTCCCTCCACCGTGCGGAGGCCATGCTCACCTTGGTTTGTTCATGTAGTGGGAGATGGTATGACGCTAGTGCAGAAGAAGGTGAGCGTGGCAGAGTCAGGGCAGGAGCGATATGCGGATGAGC